TAGATGTTGCTTTCCTAAATGCTCCAACTCCTAGGTAGGGTCGCACTGGGATATTTTTACCGTGTTTGGATTGCCCAGAGCTCAAAGTACGAAACGGTAAAAGAAACACGCCCAGGGCGTCATTAGGGTGAACCAAGTAGTTGTTCATGATAGTTGGTAGTTTGGGGGGATACGTGTAAATCTGTGCAAGCGAAGCGTTGGACCGGCCACGACATGGATACACCCCATATATGTATAGATACACATACATGTTTCCAAAGCGATGGGCCTGAAAGCACTGAACGAATGATTGTATGTATATATGTATATATATATACATATATATATATATATTGTGGGGTGTCTGGTGGGTTGTCTGGTGGAGTTGTCTGGTGGAGTTGTCTGGTGGAGTTGTCCGGATCTCCGCTGGATCGTTCAGGGGGTTGTCCAGGGTAGGTTGCTTCGTCGGCATTAATCAGCATGGGTTGTCCAGGTTTGTCAAAGGGATCGTCTGGTTTTTGATTGGTCGTCTTGTCGCCACTACTAAGCATGGGTTGTCTGGGTTGTCCAGGGGAGTGTCCAGGGATTCTTTATCGTTTTGATCAATTTCCAGTGAGCAGAGTACAACATGCAGCAGAAAGCGCTGCGTTTTGTTAAGCGTGTTCAGCTTGTCAAGAGCCCAAAAAGTACAAAACTGTAGCCCGAAAAACGCCTAGAGCGTCTTCAAGATGAACTTAGCAAGCTTCTCCTCCTGTGGCTCTTCATCCCCAGACCCCCGACGTCTTGATTTTTTCACAACGTCGACCCCCAGAGGTCTGGACACCTTCCCCAGGACCGTTTTCGTAACCCGAGTCGTTTTCTACAGCTCCCGAGGGCCGGGAAGGGCCCCCAGAGGCCGAAAGTTGCGAAAACCCTCCTGTCGCTATTTTTTCACGGCGCGAGGAGGCCTGGGTATCCGGCTGGGTTCGTCCCAAAGGAGCTCCCCCAATTCCCCGGTCCCTCCTTCGCCCTCCTTGGCTCCAGGCCCGGTAAGAACCGTCGGCAGATCGAGAACAATTCAGCGCGGGAGGGGTAGCATGTCAGATATGGCGCGAGCGCACCTCGCTTATCCGGATACTCGGGCACGATCCCGCGGTCCCACGCGGTCCCACGGACACGCCTCGCCATGGGCACCCGCGACACGAGGCGCCTCTCATCCGCGGCAGGCGTCGCAGCGCAGCGGCACGGCCCGCGAGGCCGTGCCCCTGGTTCGGCGGCGAGCGACGGGGGGACAAGGAGAAGGAGAAGGCCTCCTCAGAAGGCGGCGGGACTTCTCAGAAGCCCTCGCGCCTTATGGCAAGTTTTGACCTGTCTTCGGGGCAAGCTCAGAGAACTTCTCAGAAGGCCAGGGGACTTCCAAGCCTTCGGAGGAGGCCTTCTCCCTCTCGTTTCCCCCCCTTCGCTCGCCGCCGAAAGGTTGTGTGCCCCTCGCCCCCCGAGCTCGGCGCGCGCCCTCGCCTCCCCCGCCGCCCCATAGGGAGCTCCACCGAAGGCCCCAGTGGCAGGGTCCGCATGCGGTTCACCGCCCATTTCGGCACACATCCAAGAGAAGGGCCACGAGACGGGTGAGATACGAAAAAGGAAGGGTTTGGGAGGAGAGGAAGGGTTGGGGAGAAAGTAGGACTACTGCTCCTACTCCTACTCCTATCACTATTACGATTATTATCACTACTACTACTACTACTACTACTACTACGACTACGACTACTACTACTACTACTACTACTACTACTACTACTACTACTACTACTACTACTACTACTACTCCTACTCCTACTCCTACTCCTACTGCTACTACTAGTATTACGGCGACTACTACAACTACTTCTACTACTACTACTACTACTACTACTACTACTACTACTACTACTACTACTACGACTACGACTACGACTACGACTACTACGACTACTACTTCGACGACGACGACGACGACGACTACTACTACTATTATTAGTTGTACTATGGCTACTACTACTACTACTATTATTACTACTACGACGACGACGAAGACGACGGCGACGACGACTACTACTACTACTACTACAACTACTACAGCTACTACTACTACTACTACCACCACTACTACCTACTACTACCTACTACTACTACTACTACTACTACTACTACTACTACTACTACTACTACTACGACTACGACTACTATTACTACTACTACTACTACTACTACTACTACTACGACTACGACCACTACTACTACTACTACTACTACTACTACTACTACTAGTACTATTACTACTGCTACTATCACTAAGACTACTGTTGCTATTTGTAGTACGATTGCCAGTGCTATCAGTACTACTAGAACTACTAGTGCGGCTACTACTATTACTATTACTACTACTTCTTCTTCCACTACTACTACTACTACTACTACTGCCACTACTACCACAACTACTACTAGTACTACTACGACTACTACTACTACTACTTCTACTACTGCGGCTTTTACTACCACCACTACTACTACTACTACTACTACTACTACTACTACTACTACTACGATTACTACTACTACTTGTACTACTACTACTACTACTACTACTACTACGGCTAAGACTACGACGACTACTTTTACTACTATTTCGACTATTACTACTACAATTCCCACTACTACTTTTACAACTGCTACTACTACTAGCACTACTACTACTACTACTACTACTACTACTACTACTACTACTATTACTACGACTACGACTACTACTACTACTACTACGACTACGACTCCTACTACTACTACTACTACTACTACTACTACTGTTGATACGACCACCACTAATAGTATTACTACTCCCACTACCACTACTACTACTACTACTACTACTACCACTACTACTACCTGTACTTACGCCTACTACTACTACTACTACTACTGCTGCTACTACGACTACGATTACTAGTACTACAACTACTTCTACGAACTCTACTACTACTACTACTACTACTACTACTACTACTACTACGACTACGACTACTACTTCTTTACTATTACTACTACTACTACTACTACTACTACTACTACTACTACCACTACTATGACTACTACTACTACTACTACTATTACTACTACTACTACTACTACTACTATAACTACGAGCACTACTACTACTACTACTACTACTACTACTACTACTACTACTACTACTACTACTACTACTACGACTGTTACTACTACTTCTTCTACTTCTTTACTACTACTACTACTACTACTACTCCTACTACTACTACTACTACGACTACTACGACTACTACGAGTACGAGTACTAGTACTAGTGCTAGGAGTGGTGGTAGTGGTGGAAGTGGTAGTGGTAGTGGTAGTGGTAGTGTTAGTAGTAGTAGTAGTAGTAGTAGTAGTAGTAGTAGTACTCGTAGTAGTAGTAGTCGTAGTTGTTGTTGTTCTAGTTGTAGTAGTGGTGGTGGTGGTGGTAGTAGTAATTGTATTATTTTCCTCCTCCTCCTCGATTCCCTCCTTCCTTCCCCCTCCTTCCTCGTGCTCCTCCTCCTTCTTCCTGCTCTTCCCCCCCTTCTTGTGCTGCTGTTGCTGTTCCACCTTCTCTTCCTCCTCTTCCTTTGATTTTTTCCTCCTGGATTTAACTCCTCCCCTTCGCACCCCGAGGCCCGTTGAAAGGACGGGCCGGCCGTTTCGCTTGAGACATCTTCACCATGCTTATCATCTTGAAGCTTCACAAGTGACAGCAGCTTCACAGATGGAGGGGGGGCCGCTTCCAAAATGTGGTTTTCGTACCAGCGCCGCACATACTCTGTTTAAGACATTGAAGAGAGTTTCTCGGACTGAGGGCGGCTCGTTTTCAACATGCGGTTTCCGCGTTAGCGCCGCGCACATTCGTGATCAAAACATTGAATACACGACTTCACGGATTGAGGGCGGGTTGTTTTCAAACATTTGGTTATCGCCTTAGTGCCGCGCACATTCGCTCTCACCATTTGCAAGAGCTTCACGAGTTAAGAGCGGGCGGTTTTCAAAATATTGTTTCGATTCAGCTCCGTTCCCAGTCATTTGACATATTTGCAAGACTTTCACTGATTGAGGGCGGCTTGTTTTCAAAATGTGGTTCTCGCCCTAGCGCCGCGCATAATCATTTTTACCAGAGCTTCACGGATTGAAGGCGGGTTGTTTTCAATATGTGGCTCTCGCTGTAGCGCCGTGTACCTTCGTTTGAACATGTGCAAGAGCGTCACGGGTTGAGGGCAGCTCGTTTTCTAAATGCGGTTCTCGCCTTAGCGCCGCGCACATTCGTTGAACAAAAAGTTGCAAGAGCTTCACGGATTGAGGGCGTTTCATTTTCAATTTGCGTTTTTCGCTTAAGCGCCGCAAGCACTATTTTTTAATATTTGCAAGCGGTTCATTTATTCTAGTGGTCAACGTAGCAGAAGTGGTGCTTTGGAAAGACTCAGGATTGTCGGGGTGCAACAGTTACATTGGTTCGCGGTGTTGAAGTCCCAGGAATGGTGTTCTGGCACGATTCCGGATCGCCAAGACGTAACAGTCAGGTTAACTCGTGGCGTTGAAGTCCTGAGAGAATGATGGTTTGGCACGCTTCAGGATTTTCGCACGATTGTCCCCCAACGGGCAATCCCATCAGGGATCTACGAAGAGGGAGCTTGGAGGGAAGGCGCACTCCAGCATCATTGATGAGCCTTGGGTTGCACTTGTCCTCCTCCTCCTCATCCTCCTCCTTCTCTTTCGTCCTCCATCCCTCCCTCGTCCCCCGTCCCCTCCCCCTTCCTCTCCATCCCCTCCCTCCCCTGCCCAGCCCCATCCCACCCGCCCCTCCGCGCCTCTCCCTCCTGCCCGCCCGTCTCTCCCCCTCCCCCGCCCCTCCCCCGCCTCCCCCCCCTCCCCCCGCCTCCCCCCCCCCTTCCTCCCCCGCCGCCAGCGAGGCGCCACCCAGGCACGCGCGAGGCGCGCGCGCGCGGGGCCCCCAGCAGCTGCGCGAGGCCATCGTGCGCCACGTGAGGTGCCGGCAGCGCCCGGCGACGACCCGCCCGCCCGCGGCGGGGCCCGAGAGTCAGGGGAGCACGAGGCCTCTTCCTCCCCCCCTCCTCCTCCTCCTCCTCCTCCTGCTCCTCCTCCTCTCCTCCTCCTCCTCCTCCTCCTCCTCCTCCTCCTCCTCCTCCTCCTCCTCCTCCTCCTCCTCCTCCCTCCTCCTCCCCCCTCTTCCTCCTCCCGCCCTCGCGCAGTGAAAGTCACGACGGGAGGTTTTTCATAATTTTCAGCCTCGGGGCGCCCTTGCCGGGCCTCGGGCGCGTCAGAAAACCACGCAGGACGAGAAGCCGGTCCCCGGGAAAGGGTCCAGACCTCTGGGGGTCGACGTTGTGAAACAATTGCGACGTCGGGGGTTTGGGTTCCAGGATTTCCCAAGGTCCCCAGGGATTCCCACATTCCCAGAGGTGCCGCACCAGCTGCACCGCCACTCACTCACTCATGCCATACGCCGGAGCGCGTGGGCGAAAGAAGACAAGACAAGGCCAGCCGATTCTCACCGCTTTGCGGGAGCGGCGGCACTACTACGGCGCACCAGCTGCACCGCCAGATGGTCTGGAAAGCCTGGAACGCGTCCTGAGCCAATCCTGTCACGATATCACTCTCTCCCCAGGAGGGGGGCAGACTCTCGACCGGGAGGCGTCGTCGTTCTGCATGTCTTGGGGGGGTCCATGAGGGTCCCAGGCGTGCTCGCGTTGTGGAACATATCTTCTCTACAGGAGGAATTTTCAAACATAGCCAAAACATAGTCCGGGGACGATGTGTTGACTATGTATGCTTATGTTTGGGTTATTGTTAGGGTATTCTTCATTTTTCGTTCAAAATCCGCCTGTAGTGGGACATGCCCGACCTAACCGTTGCCCTGGGCGCATGTCTTTCCATCGCTCGGCCCTCGTGCCTCGCATGGCCGGGCACGCCAGTCGCCCGCATGTGCATTCAGCGGGTGACCTCCACGTGCTTATGTAAATACATTCGTTTGTGTTTCAGGCTCCACGGTGTCCTGCTCCTCCTCCTCCTCCTGCTTCCATATCCTTGTACCCTCCGACTCGCCTGGCCTCCCCGATACCCCATCCGCGTTATGTCCTCCACGATCTCCTCAATCCACCTCTTCAACCATCCATCTGAATCTTCATCCTCCATCCGATCAATCTATCAATATGTTGCCAAGCCGCCTCGTGAACATTGTCTGACTCCTGCCACCTTACTCTCCTCAGCTTCCTTCGTGACCCACCTCTTCAACTTCCTTCTTCGGCCACACTCCTCAACCCTCGCCTTCAACCCTCTGCCTCACCCCAGCCTCTGTTGATCCCTGCTCCTCAGCCTTCCTCCGCGCTCCGCTGAGCCTCCCCAAATACCTGTCTCTTTCCCATCTCTCTCCCCCCGGCTATACGCAAGAGTGACGCTAGGCAAGAGTGACCTCTGGTGCGCGGCCGCTTGGGGGCCGCGGGGGGGCCGAACACGAGCGTGCCAGACGCTGCTGCCGCATCGCGTTTGGCGATCGGGGGACCCCAGTGGGCCCGTTCCAAAGGTCACTGCGGCGAAAGGCCACTCCTAAGTCCAGTCGATCCCCACGCCCTCTCCCTCTCCTTTCAACCCCTCAATGTGGCCCCGGGCCTTCGGTAACGGGGGCTCGTGCTCACGATCACCGTCCTGTGGCCATGTTTCGACCGTGAAGCTGGCTGCGTAGACGGTCGGGCCGATGCATAAGATCGAGGCCCGCTGGTAGAGGGCCCCCCAATGTTCTTAATGTGCGTTGGATGTTCTTGTGCATCTTGGGGAGGACACCATTGAATGTTATGTGTCTGTGTGTATGGGCGTGTGTGTGGTGTGTGTGTGCGTGTATGTGTGTGTGGTGTGTGTGTGCTTGCGTGTGCGTGCGTGTGTGTGTGTGTGTGTGCGTGTGTGTGTGCGTGTGTGTGTGTGTGCGTGTGTGTGTGTGTGTGCGTGCGTGTGCGTGTGTGTGTGTGTGCGTGTGTGTGTGTGTGCGTGTGTGTGCGGGTGTGTGCGTGTGTGTGTGTGTGATGCCGAGAGGCGGTGCGCGAGCTGGCCGCAAGCCGCCTGGCCCAGGGTACCCTGAGCTTCTTCGCCGGCAGCCGCTCAGCAAGATCCCAGCCCTTGCCCGGGACACGTGGGCTAATTTCCGAGGTTGGGTTGCCTTCCGGAAGGGAAGGAAGCACACAGACACAATGAATCGTCGACTCCCAGGAAACTATGGGAAAAGATGGGAAGGGGGGGGGGGAAGGGAGGGGGGGAGAAAGACGAAAACCCAGAAAATAGTTGGGAAGATTGGGAATCCTGGGATTTGTGTCTATTTATTTGTGCGTCCTTGGGCCCCTGTTCTCTTGCGATGAGTTTCTTGTGGACTGGTCTTGGCTGTAGGGCGCCTCCTCCTCCTCGTCCTCCCCTGCAGCCGTGCTGGCTCACTGTTGCTCACACACTCCACCACATGGACCGCGCCATATCCGGCTGACGTTTTATATTGTTCTCGTACCTCTGTGTACCGTACGCACGATTTCATAACAAGAAAGTAGTGAACATCCAACAGCTCCAGGCATGTCAGAGTGTTTCGCCCCCGGTGCCGAGGAAGCCACCCCTGCTTCTGCGGACCCGTGCTGGGAGTCCTGGCGGCAAGGAGCGGATTGTTTGGACACTTTCCTGATTCAGAGCAAGACTTTCAGGGACGTGGCGCTAAACGCCGTGCGGGTCGTCGCACAAAATGCAGTTGGCGAGATGACAGGGAACGAGAGCCGGCTTGGGAACCCAGTGGCCCCCCTGCATTCCAACACGACGGCCGAGCGGGTCCACGTAGAACACGCCGGCAGCATCTCGAGCGGATTCATGTGGGCGTTGGTGGTCGCGGTGAGCGTTTTGGCCCTCGGCTGCATCTTCTGCTCGCTCCGAGCGTTCGAGCAGACGACCTCGAACCCGCCTCCCCTCGCCAGCGCCGCGGCGAAGGGCGGAGCGCCCATGAGCTGCGCATCCCTCGCCAGCATCACGTCCGAGTGGTCGCAGCGCCGGCAGCCGCAGCCTCCCGCCAGCGCCCGCTCCCGTGGCCTGCTGTCGGTGCCGACGAGCGCACGGAGCGTGCAGGGGGCCGGCCGAGCGCTGTCCATGAAGATCAAGAGCATAGGCAGGCACGGCGTGACGCCGCACAGCTCCCTGCCCCTGTACGACACCGCCTCGGAGCCCGCCGGGCAGAGCGCGGGGGGGTACCTCTTCACGGTGCCAGTGGATGCCCTCGTGGACGTGGCGGGGAAGGGCAGCTTCATCATCAAGGACACTTTCAGCGGCCTGGTGCTCAGGGCGTCCGTGATTCAGAACCCCGACGGCTTCCGGAAGATCCAGATTTGCCTCGGCGAGGACGCCAAGATCCCGTGTGCGGTCGTGGAGCCGCCACGGCAGGCGACGCAGGATGCCTGCAACAGCCTGGAGGTGCGCGGGGCGAACAACTTGCTTTTAGCAACCATGGTTCTGCAGAGGACTTCAGGGACAATGTTGGGGCGGAATGGGCTCAGGAGCTAGCTTGTCGCCGATCAATCGGCGATGCATCGCCGATTCGAGCTCGATGTTTCCCCTCTGGAGCCCGCCCCCCCCCGAACGCTCCCCCTCTCAGGACTGGGTCTATCGTCGTGCACTCCCAGGCACAGCCGGAGCTCATCATTGAGGGCAACGAGGCGGACTTGGACCTCCACGTCTTCTCCCGCGACGGCCGCTCCAAGGCCACGGTCTCGTGCAATGAGAGGCACCCAGGCGGGCCTGAGCAGGTTGAGATGCACGTGCTGCCTGGCACTGACTGTGTCCTCATCGTCGCGTGCACGCTCGCGATTCTATTCCTCTGCGGCGAGCAGTGAGAGAGCCCGCCGGCGGTTGCGTGCACACGCGGACCACCAAGGTTCGCAGCGACATCCATGTGCCCAGCGCAATGCCCGGCGGACTCCTGTCCAGAGCTGCAGCCCGTGCTCCACGCCCACACGCGCTCGTGAGAGCGATGGGCCAGCTGCACGCAGTCGCTGGCCGAGGACCGCTCATTCAGATTCAGTTGTTCCGCTTCAGGGGCGGCGGGAAGAGGAGGAGGAGGAAAAGGAGGAGGAGGAGGAAAAGGAGGAGGAAAAGGAGGAGGAGGAAAAGGAGGAGGAGGAGGAAAAGGAGGAGGAGGGAGGAGAGAGGAGGAAGGCAAGCTGGGTGCGCTCGCGCCACAGCTGACGCCCTACCCCCGCCAGTCCGTCCCTTCCAGCGGCGGCGCGCGAGGGGGTGCAGTGAGAAGGAGGAGGAATTCTCCCCCTCCCTCCCCCTCCTCCCTCCTCCTCCTCCTCCTCCTCCTCCTCCTCCTCTGGAGCCTCTGGAGCCTCTGGAGCCTCGGAGCGCGTGTCCCGCAGCGCAAGACACGCACAGACGATTTGAATTAGTGGGCGGGGAATGGCACCCCAACCTCCTTCTTGCTGGTTGGGTCCACACCTTTGCGCAACAACTTGAGTGAGCGCTCCGCACCACTGGTTGGCCTTTGGCTGCATCGCAGGGCCAAGTCCTTGACCTGCCTCCGCGCGTGGCAGCCACAGGCCATACAGAAGAACAGTTCAGCGTTGACACTCCACATTCTGTGAGTGTCGTGACACCTGGCCAGGACACGCGGCTTGCCTGGACAGGGGTCCTGCACGACAATGCTTCTCTTCACGGAGGTTCTGCCGCACACTCTACACCCCCAGACCCCACTTGCGAGGTGTAGGAGGTGATTATTATCCGACCTGTCAATCTTGAGGGTGACCACAGGTTGGGCCGCCCCAAGAGCTACAGGCTTGTATTTACTCTTCTTGGGAATTCTATCTACATCAGGAAAACCCCTCTGGCTTAGGTTGCTCAAAGTTCCTCTGAGCATCCGAACAAACTGACTGCCTACATGCATGGCTGTTGCAACACGCTGATCTACGTGGGCCACTGAAGGGTGCCCCATAGCCGCGGCATTCCCAGGAAACCAATCATCAGAATACCCATGGTTCCTATACCAGGACCTGGACCGATGGGAAGGCATCCAAACCAACTCGACGTTTTCTCTCCCGATGTCATCGATTTTCCAGAAAATCTGCCTCCAGATCTCCCAATGTGGCTGAGTAGGGCAGCACTTAACCTCTGGGCCCTTCTCGAGGGTCAGCAGCAAGTTCTTGTGATCTGTCACGACCGTGGCTCTGGCTGGCATGAGGGTCAGGGCCATCAGGAACGCGTAGTGCTCGGCAAGTCCTGAGGACTGGACCAAGCCTGGAACGGGGCCATACGCAACTGCTTGGACCTCCTCCGTGCCTGGTCTGAGAGAGCATGCCGACCACCCCGCCCTCGACATCCAATCAATATCAGGATTTAACCCAGACCCATCAATAAATATAAGTCCCCCTAGATGTCCTCCCCGAGGGTACCAACTCGTTTGGCTCTCACCGACCTGCAGCGGAGGGGAAAGATCATCTCGCTTGCTACCCAAGCAGCCGAAGTCAACCATCTGGTTGTCGGGGAAATCTCTGCCTATGGAAATCAGCTCGTTGAAACCCTGCTCGCGCCTCCAGCCAGCAAGACCATCGCACCTGTACAAACGGTGCGATCTGGTACCTGGAGCGCCCAAGCACCACCTGCATTCTCGAGCGATACTGTACCTATTCTTGAAAGTCTTATCCTGAGTCCAGAGGCCCCCAGCCATATGAATGGCCACCAGATCAGCCTGAGCCGAGGGTCCACGTCCCCGAAGCTGCCTGAGCTCCGCTTTCACAGGACCCGGGAACGCAAAACCTTCCCAACCGAGGTGCTTGGCGGCCGCCTGCTCGAGCTGCCGCTTGATACCCATATAGATAACAGCTTTGAGGGTGGGGATTCCAGTGTGAAGGAGGTCAACTTGGAGCCCACGGGGGTCAATCCACATGTGATACGACCTTGCCGTCCACCCGAGACGCCTGAGGGTTTGGACGACGGCCCTTGCAAGGCCTCGCACGTATCCCCATCCCTGCTGGGCCCGTGTTAAGGCCCTGTGGAATATTTGTTCCATCATGTTTGTGGGGACCCATTCCTGGTGCAGCGCCAACAACCAAGTGAGCAGCGGGAGCGAGTTCACCTGGAAGGACGGATCGGCATCTGGAGGGTCCAACAACAAAAACTGCACAGCTCGCGAGCGGCCTTTGGCCTTGCCGAAGAGCGCGAAGGCCGACACAGCCCTCAACTTCTGCAGCTCACTATCTGGCATGCCCATGACCCGCACTCCGTACGTGGCCGAGGCCAGACCTCCTGCACGGTAAACACGTGTTAACCTTTTGCGATGATGCTTGAGGGCCCGAAATCGATGCGCACGCCTCCTGAGTTTGCTGGTCCTGGACTTCTGCACTGGTTTACCTGCACGAGCCTGCAATGCGAAGCCGTGCCCTAGGTTCTTGACGCTGGCGCATGCCTTGAAACTATATGCACGCAGATATTTGCCTAGCTGCGCCGCTAACTCCTTAGTAGAAGCCAGCACCTGGCATTTCTTGCGTGAAACCACTTGCTCCAGATGCTGCAACTGCTTGCACACGTCGGGGACTGCAGCAGCTAGCGTCTGTCGAACGAAACGTGCCGAACCGATAGATCTAATGTTATATCGTCTACCATGACATACAGGTGCACGCTCGGCCATCGATCACGCATGTACACTAGCGAATCGCACAGCACAACACGCAGTAACGTCGTCGCAAACGAACAGCCCGCGATGATCGAGCGATTCAACCTGATAACCGACGAGACGACCTCCCTCACCTTGATCATCTTCCGCCCTCCATACACCATCAACAAAAGCCGAGCCCGTCGTAAGTCGAAACTGTGCTTCTGACAGGACCTCCAAAGAACATCGTGGGGGGTCTTCTCGTAGCACTTCTCTAGATCTATCAGCGCTGAGCCCGAACTAGCCGCGATAGATTCTGCAGCTTCGGCTCGCGCCGCCTGCTGCCACACTGCACGCTCGCAACTCTTGCCCTTGCCGCCGCACACGCAGCTCAGGGCACGATTCCGTTCCCATTGGTTGGCCTGATCTCGCCTGAGTCGGCTCAGGATGCGGATGCATGTTGCCAAAACTCCTATGGGTCGATGACCTCCGTCTGGCTTCTGAAGAAAAACCACCAATGATACATCGCATTGTTCAGGAATCAGTAGGTGCTCTTCTATAAACCGAGGAACAACCCGTAGGCCGTCAAAGCCTTGTCGCTCAACAATTTCAAAACACCAGGGTTCCAACCATCAATGCCGACCGTTGTGCCCTTTTTTGAACCTCTTGAGAACCTCACGGCGCTGTTCGGCCGTTGGTGGAGGGGGAGGTTCGCCCAAGGGTAGGTCCAGGTCAGAAGCGAGAAGCCGAGAAGGTTCGCCCTCGTGCCAAATCTCACGTCATTCCCTAAGCAACTGCTCGACGGTGCCCACTGGCCCCGCAGGGGCTCCTGCTGGCCCCGCAGCGTCAGGGGCCCATCCTTGAGGCTCCTTGGTCCACTTGTAGACCGCACCCCCTCCAGACTCCAAAGATTGGGGTACCCAGCTCCTCCACTCCTTGGTCCTCTTGCTCCTGAACTCCGCCTCCTCAAGCTGCGCAACGCGTGCAGCCCCGCGGAGATGCCGTCCAAGCCGACGTCCGCGGTCAGCTGCAGAGAAGAGTGAAATTGCTTCCAGCCTGGAACGTCTGCCAAACCCGGGTTCGACCAGTTAAGCCTCCAGAGTAAGTCGCGAACACCCTTGGACTCCCAAGAATGCCCCTTGCTCACCAGGTAACTCAACTCCCCCAGCCAAACCTGATATCTCCTCATACTCCTCGTCTGTTTCGAACATGTCGGAAACGGTCCCTCGACGTATCCAGAGTCGGCTTTTCCACCACCCGAAAACCCCGACTCCTCCCACAGTACTTAGGTCGATCCGAGACAGGACTGCTCAAAGTATCGCAGAGCTCGGCCTCCATGCGATCGCATAGCTGCCCATAGAAATTATTGAAACCTTCTGCCGTCGGCGCCTCGTCGAGCGCCTCGAACGAACTGCTGATATCTGACCAGTCCTGCGGCAGTGGGACTGGTCCTATAGGCCTCTCTGTCGGAAAAGGCATGGGCATCTTGATGCGCGACTTAAGCTGCAAGTGCGCATCGGTTCCCAGAGACAGTCGGACAGGGAAATGAGTCTTAGTCGCCGGGTCCGATAGACGTTCACGCGATCTGACGACCCCGACGAGCTCATGCGAGACCACGAAGAAATCTAGCTCACGCCACGCTTTGCCCGCACGACAAGTCGGCATGTTACAACTCACCACAACACCCCTCATCTTCTGAACGCTCCGAAGACTCTGAACCCCCGAGGGCAAACTGTTGAAATCACCAGATATGACGAAGGGCTTCTGGGCCCCAAACAGGAATTCTCCCAACTGATTCATGATTTGCTGCCCTTTAGCTCCTGCAACTCCCTCGCCATCTGGAATGTACACACTGACGACATAGAAGCCCCCCTTCACGCACCCGTTCACCCACACGATCGAGCAACGCGAGTGGAGGAGATGTCTGTGTACATGAGGCGGTTCGCCAACTCCGATGTGCTGGCGGACCGCGATGCCGACGCCCGAGGAGATGCCCCCTTGGTCAGTCGCATCCGCTGAAGATAATCTCAAATTGAAACCTTCGCTTCTCATGGACCGCTCATGCTGACAGACATTATCGCGCAAAACTCTGCACTCTTGAAGGCAGAACACTGAAACGTCACTAAGCCTGCTGTCCGTTAGAATCGACTGAGCTCCTTTCCAACCTGATACATTCGCCGTGACCAAGTGCCGCGGTGCACTTGAAGAGGTACTTTGTGCCGCAAGAGGCCCTTGACTGGCACTGGC